AACAACTGCCGTGGGAGGGGAGGGGGAGGGAGGGGGAGTTTAGAAGAAGTATATTTCTGATATTGCCAACATTTTTTGAATTGATTGGTTAGAGCTTCGATGATTTTAGGAATTCTATAATCTTTACTTACTTACTTACTTTACAGCTATGATCACAGAATTGACATGTGTACTCTACCCTATATCTAGCTCATTTCTGGGTCAATTAAATTCTACTGATGCAGATGGATCACATTACTAATTATACGTCACATCACTAATTATACGTCATATAATCTGACCCCTAATAATCGGGGGCCCCCCTTTGTCGGCCTCCCCTTTTTGCTGCATAGTGGTTTGATGCATTGACTAAAATTTGACTGAACATGTACAATAAGGAACATGTACAACAAGGAACATGTACAATAAGGAACAATACAATGAGGAACATGTACAATAAGGAACATGTACAATAAGGAACATGTACAATAAGGAACATGTACAATAAGGAACATGTACAATAAGAAACATGTACAATAAGGAACATGTACAATAAGGAATATGTACAATAAGGAACATGTACAATAAGGAACATGTACAATAAGGAACAATACAATGAGGAACATGTACAATAAGGAACATGTACAATAAGGAACATGTACAATAAGGAACATGTACAATAAGGAATATGTACAATAAGGAACATGTACAATAAGGAACATGTACAATAAGGAATATGTACAATAAGGAACATGTACAATAAGGAACATGTACAATAAGAAACATGTACAATAAAGAACAATACAATGAGGAACATGTACAATAAGCAACATGTACAATAAGGAACATGTACAATAAGGAACATGTACAATAAGGAACATGTACAATAAGGAACATGTACAATAAGGAACATGTACAATAAGGAATATGTACAATAAGGAACATGTACAATAAGGAACATGTACAATAAGGAACATGTACAATAAAGAACATGTACAATAAGGAACATGTACAATAAGGAACATGTACAATAAGGAATATGTACAATAAGGAACATGTACAATAAGGAACATGTACAATAAGGAATATGTACAATAAGGAACATGTACAATAAGGAACATGTACAATAAGAAACATGTACAATAAAGAACAATACAATGAGGAACATGTACAATAAGCAACATGTACAATAAGGAACATGTACAATAAGGAACATGTACAATAAGGAACATGTACAATAAGGAACATGTACAATAAGGAACATGTACAATAAGGAACATGTACAATAAGGAACATGTACAATAAGGAACATGTACAATAAGGAACATGTACAATAAGGAATATGTACAATAAGGAACATGTACAATAAGGAACATGACGTACAATAAGGAACATGTACAATAAAGAATATGTACAATAAGGAACATGTACAATAAGGAACATGTTTAATAAGGAATATGTACAATAAGGAACATGTACAATAAGGAACATGTACAATAAGGAACATGTACAATGAGGAACATGTACAATAAGGAACATGTACAATAAGGAACATGTACAATAAGGAACATGTACAATAAGGAACATGTACAATAAGGAACATGACGTACAATAAGGAACATGTACAATAAAGAATATGTACAATAAGGAACATGTACAATAAGGAACATGTACAATAAGGAATATGTACAATAAGGAACATGTACAATAAGAAACATGTACAATAAAGAACAATACAATGAGGAACATGTACAATAAGCAACATGTACAATAAGGAACATGTACAATAAGGAACATGTACAATAAGGAACATGTACAATAAGGAACATGTACAATAAGGAACATGTACAATAAGGAACATGTACAATAAGGAACATGTACAATAAGGAACATGTACAATAAGGAACATGTACAATAAGGAACATGTACAATAAGAAACATGTACAATAAAGAACAATACAATGAGGAACATGTACAATAAGCAACATGTACAATAAGGAACATGTACAATAAGGAACATGTACAATAAGGAACATGTACAATAAGGAACATGTACAATAAGGAACATGTACAATAAGGAACATGTACAATAAGGAACATGTACAATAAGGAACATGTACAATAAGGAACATGTACAATAAGGAACATGTACAATAAGGAATATGTACAATAAGGAACATGTACAATAAGGAACATGACGTACAATAAGGAACATGTACAATAAAGAATATGTACAATAAGGAACATGTACAATAAGGAACATGTTTAATAAGGAATATGTACAATAAGGAACATGTACAATAAGGAACATGTACAATAAGGAACATGTACAATGAGGAACATGTACAATAAGGAACATGTACAATAAGGAACATGTACAATAAGGAACATGTACAATAAGGAACATGTACAATAAGGAACATGACGTACAATAAGGAACATGTACAATAAAGAATATGTACAATAAGGAACATGTACAATAAGGAACATGTACAATAAGGAATATGTACAATAAGGAACATGTACAATAAGGAACATGTACAATAAGAAACATGTACAATAAAGAACAATACAATGAGGAACATGTACAATAAGCAACATGTACAATAAGGAACATGTACAATAAGGAACATGTACAATAAGGAACATGTACAATAAGGAACATGTACAATAAGGAACATGTACAATAAGGAACATGTACAATGAGGAACATGTACAATAAGGAACATGTACAATAAGGAACATGTACAATAAGGAACATGTACAATAAGGAACATGTACAATAAGGAACATGACGTACAATAAGCAACATGTACAATAAGGAACATGTACAATAAGGAACATGTACAATAAGGAACATGTACAATAAGGAATATGTACAATAAGGAACATGTACAATAAGGAACATGTACAATAAGAAACATGTACAATAAAGAACAATACAATGAGGAACATGTACAATAAGCAACATGTACAATAAGGAACATGTACAATAAGGAACATGTACAATAAGGAACATGTACAATAAGGAACATGTACAATAAGGAACATGTACAATAAGGAACATGTACAATAAGGAACATGTACAATAAGGAATATGTACAATAAGGAACATGTACAATAAGAACATGTACAATAAAGAACAATACAATGAGGAACATGTACAATAAGCAACATGTACAATAAGGAACATGTACAATAAGGAACATGTACAATAAGGAACATGTACAATAAGGAACATGTACAATAAGGAACATGTACAATAAAGAATATGTACAATAAGGAATATGTACAATAAGGAACATGTACAATAAGGAACATGACGTACAATAAGGAACATGTACAATAAAGAATATGTACAATAAGGAACATGTACAATAAGGAACATGTTTAATAAGGAATATGTACAATAAGGAACATGTACAATAAGGAACATGTACAATAAGGAACATGTACAATGAGGAACATGTACAATAAGGAACATGTACAATAAAGAATATGTACAATAAAGAACAATACAATGAGGAACATGTACAATAAGGAATATGTACAATAAGGAACATGTACAATAAGGAACATGTACAATAAGAAACATGTACAATAAAGAACAATACAATGAGGAACATGTACAATAAGCAACATGTACAATAAGGAACATGTACAATAAGGAACATGTACAATAAGAAACATGTACAATAAAGAACAATACAATGAGGAACATGTACAATAAGCAACATGTACAATAAGGAACATGTACAATAAGGAACATGTACAATAAGGAACATGTACAATAAGGAACATGTACAATAAGGAACATGTACAATAAGGAACATGTACAATAAGGAACATGTACAATAAGGAATATGTACAATAAGGAACATGTACAATAAGAAACATGTACAATAAAGAACAATACAATGAGGAACATGTACAATAAGCAACATGTACAATAAGGAACATGTACAATAAGGAACATGTACAATAAGGAACATGTACAATAAGGAACATGTACAATAAGGAACATGTACAATAAAGAACATGTACAATAAGGAACATGTACAATAAGGAACATGTACAATAAGGAACATGTACAATAAAGAATATGTACAATAAAGAATATGTACAATAAGGAACATGTACAATAAGGAACATGTACAATAAAGAATATGTACAATAAAGAATATGTACAATAAAGAACAATACAATGAGAGCACTACTGCAGAGAGGGTCCGGCTAACTCCCCTAACTACACATAACTAAAAGACTAAACTACGGTTTTTATAACTAATTAAATAACCCATTATCCCTTATTTAGACCCAGCTTTCTTTACCGTCCTTTTTTAAACGCGGCTCCTCACATGACCCCCAATACATTAATAAGAGAACGCTATTAGTTTGATAACAGATACGTACCATACATTACGTACCATACATTACGTACCATAAGCAGAGCAAAGATTAGAGATGTGTGATAATATAATATAACTGCGACGGATGAATTTTAAAGAAAAAGATCCGCTGTAGCACGAGTAGTAAAGTCATCGTCACAACAGATCATACCTTCACCCCTGATCACAAACCAGCTGATAGACATATTATTCGCTGTTGCATAAAATATTAAAGTCAGATCTTAGACTATATCTAGCAGATATTAAACAGTCGTGTGCTTTGCGAATAAGATTGGTTTTGATTTTGGACTAATGACTAGCGGATAACTAATGTTCCTTAGTATAGGTTGTTATGACAGGTGGTGTATTATGTGTAGTTTGGGTACTGTATATTTACTGTATAATATAATGTTATGTGTATACTGTACATGTATAATATATAATATACATATATTGTATAATAAAGTATATATAGTGCATAATATTATAATATATAGTTTGGGTGTACTACGACACATAATTAAGAACTATTTGATTATGTGGAAATGTGGGTAACAGTAACACATTGATTGTAACGATTAAAAAATATGAAAAAAAAATAAAATACTTCACAAGTGAAACAAGTTCACTAACCTTGTGTCCACGAATACTGTTGACGCGTACAGTCCCTCTGCGTTTCCTGACAGGTGGCTCAGTCCCATCCTCCATAGTGCTGGAAACAGGAGGATGCTCCTCAGGTTGTCTGCTGTTGTCTGGCTCCGACAAGACTTCAGTCACGTGGTCTGGCAGCCCTACAGCTTCTTCAATAACTGTAGTATTAAGGGACTGCGACAGGTCTGCTACTTCATCATGTACTTCTAATCTCTCAGTGGAGTCTAAGATATTACTGTCTATATCACAAAGTTCGATGAGAGAGCGGATATGAGGAGCAGTGCTGTCTTCCTGTAATGCAGCGCTAGGCGACTCCTGTTCCATTACTGGAACACCGTTTTCCGTGGTAGCTAAATTAGAAAATTGATTTATGGAGGAGGTTAAGTGGGTAGCATTAGTAGCATCGTCTGTAATAGCAGTGTCACATGGATCAACAGAGTGTTCAGCAGCTGTTACATTGGCTGTAGCATCGTCTGTAATAGCAGTGTCACATGGATCAACAGAGTGTTCAGCAGCTGTTACATTGGCTGTAGCATCGTCTGTAATAGCAGTGTCACATGGATCAACAGAGTGTTCAGCAGCTGTTACATTGGCTGTAGCATCGTCTGTAATAGCAGTGTCACATGGATCAACAGAGTGTTCAGCAGCTGTTACATTGGCTGTAGCATCGTCTGTAATAGCAGTGTCACATGGATCAACAGAGTGTTCAGCAGCTGTTACATTGGCTGTAGCATCGTCTGTAATAGCAGTGTCACATGGATCAACAGAGTGTTCAGCAGCTGTTACATTGGCTGTAGCATCGTCTGTAATAGCAGTGTCACATGGATCAACAGAGTGTTCAGCAGCTGTTACATTGGCTGTAGCATCGTCTGTAATAGCAGTGTCACATGGATCAACAGAGTGTTCAGCAGCTGTTACATTGGCTGTAGCATCGTCTGTAATAGCAGTGTCACATGGATCAACAGAGTGTTCAGCAGCTGTTACATTGGCTGTAGCATCGTCTGTAATAGCAGTGTCACATGGATCAACAGAGTGTTCAGCAGCTGTTACATTGGCTGTAGCATCGTCTGTAATAGCAGTGTCACATGGATCAACAGAGTGTTCAGCAGCTGTTACATTGGCTGTAGCATCGTCTGTAATAGCAGTGTCACATGGATCAACAGAGTGTTCAGCAGCTGTTACATTGGCTGTAGCATCGTCTGTAATAGCAGTGTCACATGGATCAACAGAGTGTTCAGCAGCTGTTACATTGGCTGTAGCATCGTCTGTAATAGCAGTGTCACATGGATCAACAGAGTGTTCAGCAGCTGTTACATTGGCTGTAGCATCGTCTGTAATAGCAGTGTCACATGGATCAACAGAGTGTTCAGCAGCTGTTACATTGGCTGTAGCATCGTCTGTAATAGCAGTGTCACATGGATCAACAGAGTGTTCAGCAGCTGTTACATTGGCTGTAGCATCGTCTGTAATAGCAGTGTCACATGGATCAACAGAGTGTTCAGCAGCTGTTACATTGGCTGTAGCATCGTCTGTAATAGCAGTGTCACATGGATCAACAGAGTGTTCAGCAGCTGTTACATTGGCTGTAGCATCGTCTGTAATAGCAGTGTCACATGGATCAACAGAGTGTTCAGCAGCTGTTACATTGGCTATAGCATCGTCTGTAATAGCAGTGTCACATGGATCAACAGAGTGTTCAGCAGCTGTTACATTGGCTGTAGCATCGTCTGTAATAGCAGTGTCACATGGATCAACAGAGTGTTCAGCAGCTGTTACATTGGCTGTAGCATCGTCTGTAATAGCAGTGTCACATGGATCAACAGAGTGTTCAGCAGCTGTTACATTGGCTGTAGCATCGTCTGTAATAGCAGTGTCACATGGATCAACAGAGTGTTCAGCAGCTGTTACATTGGCTGTAGCATCGTCTGTAATAGCAGTGTCACATGGATCAACAGAGTGTTCAGCAGCTGTTACATTGGCTGTAGCATCGTCTGTAATAGCAGTGTCACATGGATCAACAGAGTGTTCAGCAGCTGTTACATTGGCTGTAGCATCGTCTGTAATAGCAGTGTCACATGGATCAACAGAGTGTTCAGCAGCTGTTACATTGGCTGTAGCATCGTCTGTAATAGCAGTGTCACATGGATCAACAGAGTGTTCAGCAGCTGTTACATTGGCTATAACATTCTCATGACTCTCCGACTCGCTCGCATCCAAGAGTTTGCACTGTTCGCAGCCCATTTTTGCAAAACATACTCAGCACTAGCACAAAAAGTTATGGTTATATTTGAAGTACAGATATAGCAATTAGCATCTAATATATTAAAGTTATGGTTATATGGAAATTTGAAGTACAGATATAGCAATTAGCATCTAATATATTTTGTAGTGCACATGAAAATTTTATAAAAATCGTATTGCCTCTTATCAAGCCATGAGGGAGTTATTGATCAGGTATCCTCATCTCAAATAATGACAGAACAAAATTATTGATATCTCTATTGTCTAGGAATTTAGATGTATCGTTATTTCATGATTTCAATAATTTAACTGAAATCTCAACAAGAAATCTCGAAGCAGTTCCTAGTTAAATGTGAATATCAACTTTGTTATAGAATATGAAGTACACGACAAGATGAGATTACTCAAATACATTTGCTTTTAAAGGTGATCACCTTTTTTACAGCTCAGTAAAAGGAACGTTATCAGTAAAACAAAGTTATCAATTTTATGCCAATCTTATACATTAATATTGGAAATCTTTACAAAGAAAGGCAATTTAGGATAATTTATGCATACCAGTCATATTGCAGATGGACTGAAAATCGAGGGGGCAAAGGGGCACTATTGCTATTCGCCTTCGTGTGCATTACAATGGCAACTATACTTTTCTGGGTTTTAGAAAGTGTCAGGCTTTAATGTATCTATTCTATTTTATATTCATTTACTGTACTCTGTAAAATTTAAAAAGTATTTAATAAAAAAATATCACATTTCACACAAGTAGCAATCGACATCCACAGCATCGGCTAAGTTGAGGATTAAAAAGCATCGAAGAGGTATGCATGTTAACAAATCTCTATTCAATAGAACTGTCAACCACAATGGCCATCATCCTGCGTGAGGTATATCATGATGTGAAAGTTGAACCCCAGCTACAGAAGGTAAACGAGGGTGACTGTCTCAACCCCAAGACCATAACATGTGACCAAACTCGGCTTGACGTATCTGCTAGAGGAGTTTGGACTCTACTTGATAAGACCTTTCTTGACATAAGGGTATCACACCCCAATTGCTTATCAAACAGGACAAAGACTCTTCAAGAAGTTTACGAAATGAATGAGAAGAAGAAGGACGAGTACTTGGAGAGTGTTGAATGTGGAGAAGGCTACCTTCACCCCGGCTGTATTCCTCACATCAAGAGGAATGTCTAAAGACATTTAGCAGTTCGTAGTAAGGCATGTGAGAACGAGGATAAGATTTGCAACTCTTATCCCTCTATCAAGATTCCTGAGAAAGTGCGATGAGACTGGATTTTGGCCATTTGAAAGTGCGATTGTCACGTGTCACGTGCAGTGGCGAAAAGTACTTATTTTGTACAAAGTGATTGCATGAATGAAACAAGAAATTTTTCAATGAAACAAGGAATTTAATTTTTAGCACATTTTACAGAATAAAGAGATGTAAAACAATTTATAAAAATATAATGCTCATTTGGTGTATGACTTTTTGTCCTTGAATGTTAGTTTGATTTTGAAGGGACAGGTAACTAACGGGGCAGGGAATGTGCGTGCCTGAAAGCTTTTGCACACACCAAAACGCTAGTTCAGTTGAGTTTTTAGAGACAGGGCTCATATGAGGATCAGAAGAAAATTGTTAGCAGACGTTAGGGGTTCTGTTTATGTTTGTTACTATGGGTTACAGTCTTGTTGTGACAGAAAGTCTACACTATATAATATGCCTAAGTTTAAATTGTGTAGTTTGAGGATATAAAATGCAACTTTAAGATGGATATTGGAGAGCTGGTGAAAAATTATGGTCTTTGTATCAATGGTTATAATAAGCTATAAATATCTTAAACTATACAGTGCTAATTAAAAATTTCGTTATACTGCATTATCAAATTAAATATTAAAAATTCAAAAATATACATTCATTTTATTAAAGACTTTCTCACACATACTTTACTCACAGAACAAGACTTGGAAAACACTAGACTAGGGGAATTTCGCTGACATGTGTGTGACCAGCATATCCTGGGTATTAAAAGTTAGCAGTTCATTATAGTGAAGGATAATAACTTGTGGCTACAATATTTTCTGTAAAAATATTGCATGTAAAACATCATAAGTAATGAATTAATGAGTGATAAAATAAGATATGATTTAACAGTGAACTGTGGGCATGAAGGTAACAATTTAAGTTGAAAATTACATAGATGCCCACTTTGGAATTTCGTTAGAAATATTATTTACAGTTATACCAGTGGCGTAACGTTGCCTGTTGGCGCCCCCCTGCCGAAAAAAGCGCCCCCCTGTTGGCGCCCCCTCCCCTTTTGGTGCCCCTCCCTAAAATTAAACAAATTAGGTGATTTTAAAGAATACGCCGGTAAAATCTCTAAAAAAGTGTGTATCTAGAGCAAAACGCGCAGTTTTGCTAGTACTTTAGTTAAGTTTTCGAAATTGTCCCACATTCAAACGACGATTTGGCGCCCCCCTAAGACGGCGCCCCCCTGCACAGCGGGGTCAGCAGGGCCTTTCGTTACGCCACTGAGTTATACACATAGAAGTATAGAACAATAATAAAATGGCAATGATAACAAGTGGGAACGAATAAGGATATGTTTAAAGTTCTATACTTCTGAAAATAAGTTTAAATAGGATTAAAGGATTCAGTTTTAAAACTTATTTGATTTGATAAGGTCATATAATGCAGGTGGCCTTTCCACCCGACAAAAACTCCAGCACCTTAAAATTTGTTTCAGTTGTATATATATATTGTTATCTACATGTTCCTGTGATAATACTTAAACACACTTTCATTATACTCAGTTGTGTATCATTGCCCCAGCCTACAGGCCTACAGTATGTGTATAGATCCTTAAAGGCCAGCATGTTTTGTTGCTTGAAGAGTGGTTTGCAGTGCTCTAGTTGGAAGAATGTGTGGTTATCATATGGCCCAGGTTATTAGAATTATAATTATAATCAAATAATATCTCCACCAAAAGCACACTGCCCAAATGGTGCGTATTGCAGTAACTTCTTTCAAACTTCATGAATCAAGAAAAAATCTTTTGCAATGTATTCATAATTAATATATGAAATATACAAATCACTTGGAATACTTTTGAAAGAGGATAACAAGCCCAAAAAAGCTACTGACGTATTTCTCCATAAAAAGTACAATAGCGTGAGTAGCTTTTGTCGAGGTGCCTCAAAAGTGATCTTAAACGATTCCCCGTTCAATTTTGGTTGGAGAGCATCAACTTAATGCAGAATCAAGCAAGTTATAGACATATTTCATACATATAGTCGGATCCCAACCGTTCTAAAAGGCTATCTCGTTAGCTTTTCGTGTTAAAAGCGATTTCTCAACGGTTATCACCTCTCTAGATGATTCTTAAAACATTTGGACTTTATTGCATTTTTGAAATAAATGCAATAAGGGCGTTTTCGGCCACACCCTTTTTCAGGGTTTCGCGGTCACTCGAATTTTTGTATTTCAGTCCAGGAAGGTCTTGAAGACTATTCCGATACACCAAAATGTGCCTAATAGCCACATTTATATACAACTTTTGAAGCAACATATACCTTAAAATGCTTCGTTTCGAAAATATGGCCGAAAAACGGTTTTTGGCTTGACGCAGTTCAAATTTCCGTGATTTTTGGCATTTCCGCCTAGGAAGGTCGTAGAGACTATTCCGATACACCAAAATGTGCCTAATAGCCACATTTATATACAACTCATGAAGCAACATATACCCTAAAAGGCTTATTTTCGGAAATGTGGCTGAAAAACGGATTTTTGCCGAGCAAACAATGACAATATTCACAAATGCAAATGGGCTATTGGACTGTTAACTAGAACGGTCTTAAAGACTCATGAGCAACATAGCATTTGTCAAAAGATGTAAGATGAGTCACTTTGTGTCCAGAAACACCTACAAAATTTTTATAATGATCTACTTTATTGGGCATCTCTCTTAATGGGCCAGGCCAGCAGCATATTTGTGTCTTACGAAAGGGCGATTTTTCAAAATTACGGTTTCTTAAGATCAAAGGGTCGGCAGCTAACAGCGAATTGGTCACAGTTGGCCACTCATGCACGTCATGTACACAAAAACGCTCACTTTAGGAGTTATTAGTAAATAACTACTACATGATTTGTGAAAACTCCAACAATTTTTCCTTGGCACCAATTTAATTTTTAAATATAATATGTGCCAGACCAAAAGTCAACTTCAAACTTTATATTTATTTATGCCATGAAATCATGATATATGTACCAAGAATACTATACCGGACCTAAAATAAATCGGCACTGGATCCGGTCCAGATTGTTACTTGACCGCTGACCAGTACCCCACTTAAAAATTATGATTGATTTCGCTGTCTCGACCAATACTGGTCTGTAATCCCTGGTTTGAGATCTGTTGGCCGCAGTTTAATAATACTGCAGTGGTTTGGTTCGCATAGATTTTACCATCGTATGATAATGTGTGTCATTTCCTCGTTTTTAATCAAATGGTTACTGGCTAGCTCTTTTGTTATTACAGCTGCCTCGACATCTTATCTAGGGCACTAATACATTAGTACTAGAACATTATAACTATAATTCTAGAACTTCAGATTAAGATTACTTGGCCGAATGGTAGGGTTCGAGATTCGACTCTAAAAAGCTCAGTTTAGGAGTGATTAGTAGA